TAAAAAAAAAAGACTGTCGAAACCGTTTTGTTTTCCAGTGTACTCGTCCGGCTCGATGAGCGGACTTATTTTCCAATTTTGAGCAAGACGGACGCGCCTTTGGAGATTCGGGCGAGAAATGAGAGGCGATCTTGCAGCCCGCAATCGCGCTCAGCATCGTTCGACGGACGTGACGACGTTGCAGCGACGCGGAAAAAAATGAGTCCGCGCATTAGTATTCGCGTTGTAGGGCGTCACGAGGCGCTTCCGGAGTGGGGGGGGGGGCGAAAAGGCCGTCACCGGGGTGCGCGGTTACCGTCCACTTTGCAAAGCTCAGGTGGAAACTACGGGAGCCTTTTGATCCGCTTAATTTGCATAAAGGCACGCCTCTCGAATGGCGAAAACGATCAATCAAGTCGCCGCGGGGAACGAGACTGCGCTATCGCCGCTCTTTTCCAAGCGGAGGGGGGAAGGGCGGGGACGGAAGGACGGGAAGCCGCGATCCGATCGGCTCTCGATAGTTTACACGCCTCGCTAGACCGCGGCCTTCTCCCCTCCCCCCCGTCGAGCCAGCTCCCGGGAACGTTCGTTGTTTCTCGCGTTCCGGAAATTCGTTTCCCGCGTTAAGTAGAGCACGATGCTAACATCAGACGCGCGATATAACTTTGAGACGTTCGATTTTAATCAATCGAACTTCCCCTTCGAACCTCCTCGCCTCGTTCGCGAGGCGGATCCGCTCACGCCCTAAAAAATGCTCACCGCGAGTTCGCCCCGCGTTGTGCGAGCGGGATAATAATGAATAAATAAGAGGGTAAGAGAGAAACGCGGGAAGCGCCCGAATGCGGAAAGCAAAAAGCAGGAAGAGAGGAAGAAAGGGAGAAACAAAGGGAAAGAGAGAGAGAGAGAGAGAGAGAGAGAGAGAGAGAGAGAGAGAGACAGGCGTTTGTAAATGGAGTCGGGAGAAAATCTAAGAGTATGCAAAAGAGTATGCACACTTCGCGGACTTCTAGTTGTGACACAATTTTTCCAGCCGCTTCTGCGGCGTACACACAGAATGACCGGAGAGAGCAACTCGAGAATGATTTTTCTCAGCGGGAGCGTCGCGGCAGAGACCATTACTTATCGCGCGTCCTTCCGTCTCCCAGCGTTGTATATTTCGTCGCGCGCAAAAATTCCCGCGGACCCGAATTCCATTAACGCGAAGTTTACTCCCGAAATTACACGCCGCTGCGGAGAGCGCGCTCTCCCGTCGCGTTCGTTTTCTACGGTTGCGCGACCGCCGGAAAATCGACAAAACCGACGATTTCTCGTTGTGCCGAAGGAAAAGGGAGAAGAACATTCTTCCCGAGGCAATGAATCGCAACTGACCGAAAGCTGCGAAAGAAAAAAGGGACAGGAAAGAGAAAGAGGGAGGGGAAGAGAAAGAAAGTCGATATCGGACCTGACGGCGCAGCAAGCGCGCGACCGGCTCCGCGCTGTTGTGTTTAATCTGAATACACACGCCGATTATATTCCCTTTTTCTTCGGCGTTCCCTTTATCGTTCGATGTTAATCGGACTCGCCTCGTCAAGAATATTATCTGACCCGACGGGGGAGAAGCATTACACTGTGTGTTTTCATGGTGTCGCGCGATCGCGATTATACGATACGAGTGCGCGTAAAAGCTCGTCGAGTCCTCCTTCTTCCTCCCCTTCCACATCATCCCTCCTCTTCCTCTTCATACCCGAGAGTCGTTATTCTTTATTCGATCTGAAATAAAATTGCGGGCGAGAGAGACAAAAAAGGCGAGAGAGAGAGAGAGAGAGAGAGAGAGAGAGAGAGGGAGAGAGAGAGAGAATATAGAATATGTTTGCGCAATTCTGCAACGTTACGACACGTTTAATTTCGTGCGCGCGTTGTCGGGTTACAACATCGTAACCAGTCGTGTAATCGAGCGGACGGATTGTACTGGTTCGATTAGAATGTACTTGTTCCTCGCTGCGGCGAGGGCGGGAAGGGGGGAGGGGAGAGAGAGAGAGAGAGAGAGAGAGAGCGGAAATCTATGGTCCGGCTGTAATTTACTTATTCTACCGCGGAAGAGTTAGATCTACGGTCTGTCCGCGTACGTACTTGTTCCACTGCGAGGAGAGGAAGAGAGATATATGGCCGGGCTGCAACTTACTTACCCAACTGCGGATATAGCAACTTATAGAATATTAGCACTTGGGTCGCGAGGACGCTTCACTGTATACATTTTGCAGCAGCGCGACATAAGTCGCGCGCGACGTCGACCGCGTGCGCGCGAGGGATAAAATAAAACGATGGGAATAATAAAAATAATTGATCGTAATACGACGACGACGAGAGCAGCGGGAGAAAGCTCTGGCGACTTGATTTTGCTAAAAATAGCAAACGGTCAAAGGTACAACGAGTTTAACACGATTGTGCCAGCGAACGTATCGCTGATCGAGTTTTTGTAATTGAAGAAAATGGTACATACAATTCACGTCGATGCGAAAATGATTGCGATTACGACCTTCCAAAGCAACGAGTGCTTTAAATGCTTCAAGCGCGCCCGACGTCGAACAAAACAATCGGTCCCGGCCCTTTCGTGTATTTCGTTGCCCGTAACGCGATATCACACTTCTTAAATCGCAATTCCGCGTTTAATCTGCCGCCGCTTTAGCATACCGCGCGCGCGATCGTTCGTTTGATAATAATCGTTTCGCGCACATTCAAGGCCGAACTCGATATAATTTATATATATCCTAATCAAGGTATCGAATCGCGCGCAATTTTCATTGCGATTAACGAGTAACGAGCGAGATTTTTAACGCGCGCCGTCATTAACTGAAAGGAGAACGAGCGCGGTTCGCGCAGACTTTTCACGCGCAAAACATTTGCCTGTGATCCCGAGTGGAAAAATTAATAGGGCTCTGGTAAGGGCCTGATTATTTTTCTCTAACATTAATTGGGTCTTAGTAGAAAGGCAAAGGCTCTACAAGTGTAACAAATGCTTTAACGGGTCCTAATAAGGCAATATTAATAGGGTCTTATAAGGAAATATTTTTATTATTGCTCGAATAAAAATATCCGTCCTTTTCATTTCAAGAAATTTAGACTGTAATTTCCTTATTTCTTCAAAACCTTGTTAGTATACAACAAGAATTTTTTATTTTAAAAATATAGCATTCTTTATACATATAAAAATCCTGCTACTGTTTTTATTAAAGTTTGCTGCAAAACTCAAAACGAAGGCAATACTAGAAAAATTCTTGGAAGAGACTAATGAATATGGCAACTGATAAAACTAATAAAATTGGCTTCAAATTGCGATATAATTAAAAGAAATCTTTAAAAGAACCAGATAGTGCGTACCTACTAAAACAATAACAACTACTAAACTATGATGAACAATTTTATTATACGCTTCAGATCTTATTATTTTTCTAAAACAAAACTTGATTTTGTATATCTAAAGCATCCTCTTAAAAGATCCTTCCAAGGCCCACATCAGTTTTCCATGTTAAAGTGTTATCTCGTAAAATCTAAGGCATCCTTAATAAATCTTTCTAAGGCCCTCATCAGCTTTCCCTATCAAAGCCTTATTTATTAGATCTAAGGCATCTCTAAAAAATCCTTCTAAGCTCCTTCTCAGCTTCCTCCATCAAAGCCTTATTTATTAAATCTAGGACATCCCTAAAAAAATCTTTCCAAGGCTCTTCTCAGTTTTGCTTATGAAAACTTTATTTCCTAAAATCTAAAGCATCCCTAAAAGATCCATCTCGGGGCCTGATGTGGTAATAATGAAGCATCTCTTTTTAGGGCATCCTCCTTTCAGCCTTATAGGAGCCTTATGCTTCATGAGGATGACCCCGACAATTTTTTGTTCGGGATGTTGCGATAACAAACGGTTCGCTGCCGAGCGGGAGGGAAACCGGCGACCAAGATATCTCGATCAGAATTCGACAACGCGGCCGGACTTATGGCATAATAAACAAACCGGTCTCGGAGATATTTCCTCGCGCCAACGACGCGTCGGCCCGATAAATCCTCTCTCCCCCCCACCCCCGGCCCCTGGGCCCGCGATCGGTCGTTGTAATTGCACGTACGATTCCGCCGGCCGGCCGGCGCGTTTTGTTACACGATAGCGCCGAGGATTCTCTCCGCCATCAAGAACTGGAATTCCACTTCCAGGCCTCGTGGGCGCAACTTTTTCTATTCTTCTGACCCGGTCTGATTTATCGTCACCCTTACGTGTACCACGTGCGCTCATGGGTCTCTTCCTCCGCTACGTCCCTGTGATTGATACGGGGTTGTAGATCGCGAAGGTAAAGGGACGTTCCATAAGCCTCGCGTGCGAGCGGAATTCCCGATTTTCCGCTCGTTCCTCTCCGCACAGGCGATGTATCCTCCGAAAGTGGTCGAAACGGCGCCGGCATGTTAACCGTCGCCACGTCCTGCCCGCAAATTGCAACGGACGCGTGCGCCCCGGAATCATTTCGCCGTATTTCACGGGACGTCTTTTCGTACCTCGTTTGTTTCCTGTTTTTTTTTTTTCTCTCTTTCTCTCCTTCTCGCTTCCCAACGTGCTCGTCAGAGAGAAACGACGCGACGGGAAGGTGAAGATACCGCTGCTAAATGTGCATTCTGTGAATGCGCGCGCGCTGATACGTTTTTCCGATCGAGCGCGGTTATATCGGAAGATTCCTGCGGCGAGACACGAGTTCCGCAGCATCGTGGGGTCGAAGTCGCAAATTGTTGCGAAGCTCATGTACAAAACGCTATTACCGTCCGTTGAGACACCTCACCGGGAGATTTACGAGAGGGCGAGCCCTTCGTCCCTCCGCGAGTTATCGCGAGAGCTTAGCGCCGAACTTTCCGCCGTGTCGTCGCGAATCACTCAGTATTGTAAACGCGGGTGTACCGCTGATAAACTTAATCCGGGCACGAATGAGCGACATGCCAGCGCGAGATCCCCGCCGACAGGCCGTCGAATCGCCGAACAGGGAAGGACTTTATCGTCGAATGTTTGGTTTCAGAGGCCGAAGTGAGATCGCCGCGTTTCACCGGCTCCGGCTGGCTGGCCTTTCCCGCTCTAAGGGCTGCCTACAAGCACGTCCAAATGGAGCTGGAGTTCCGGCCCGAAGCGTGGGACGGCGTGCTCCTGTTGGCGGGCGAACGGGACGACCTTCAGGGCGATTTCATGGCCCTGATTCTGCATCACGGTTTCATCGAATTCAGGTAGTCGCGCAGCACGTGCCGCCAATGATTCGCGTTAATATCAGCGTCCTCGTTCGGCGACGCGATCGTTTGCTCGTCCGACGGCGCGAGGTAAATCTCCGTGAGATCCTGCGAACCATTTTTCAAGGATGCATCATAGTCACTCGATGTACTCCGGGATAATTTATTATTCTCCTTGAGATTACTATGGGAGAAGAGAGAGAGAGAGAGAGAGAGAGAGAGAGAGAGAGAGAGAGAGAGAGAGAGAGAGAGAGAGAGAGAGAGAAGAGAGAGAGAAAGGGGGGAGAAAGGGAAGCGGGACGTATCACATGTAACAGTGATAAACGGGATCGACGAAATCGAAGAAAAAGAGGTCAATTAATCTTTCGTAATCATCCGCGATCGCGCGCGGATCAATTTTTCTCCGTTTCAACAAATTGCCGGTCGGACGTTCGCGAATCGGCAAAGTGGCTGGCCGGCGGCCGTCCTGCGAAAGCGCAAACTCCTTAAACCGCGCCAAGGGGACCGTCAGGAAGAGGACGGGACCGGAGAGGGGCTCATCGATTTTTTGTACCGCTAGAACGAGCCGGCAGGGGGGTGGGGGCAAGAGCCGTATTGAATATAAAGTTATACGGGACACACTTTATAGGACACTTCGGCGCCATAATTTCGGAGACTTTGCCCGCGAGTTTGACGTTGGTCATTAATTAAACATTCCGTACCGGGACTAATTTTTCGTTTACAGCTTAATAAGCCGTGACTTAATGGAGGTCCGTGCACGATTTACGAGCGTCGTGGAAAAAGCGGAAAGTTCGCCTTTCGCGATATAGCCGCCCTTTCACGACGGGCCGTTTTGCACCATCGCTGCTTGCGAGCATCGGCAGCGGTGGAACTTTTTCACCCCCCGTCAACGACGCCGTAGGATTTATTTTACAACTCACAACGCCAACTTTCGTCCGCAAATACGCTGCAAAGTGTTATACACGCGTGTTATGACGCGTGTAATATCGCGCGACCGTGATACCTGCGCGCCGAAACGTCGCAGCCACCGGCGCGAATATTCAGTATCCCGTTCTCAAGTAATATTTTGATTATTGAATTTACCCTCCGCTTCGCGTGCGCGCGCGCGCGCGCGCGCCATTTCCCTCCTCCGTTCGCGTTCGCGCGATGGCCAGAAAAAAAAGAAAACACAGCAGGGGCTGCGATATTCCGCGATAATGAATAAAATAACAGTTCTCGCGCGTGTTCCATTGTCTCTCTCTCTCTCTCTCTCTCTCTCTCTCTCTCTCTCTCCCCCCCCCCCTCTCGTTGAGAATCGTCGAATTTCGCTCATCGATAGCCGTTAAATAAAGTAGCGAATAAAAGCGTCACAGTTTTCAACGCCGGCGTTTAGCCTGATTAGTGAACAAAAATGGACCAAAAAAAGACACGGGGAGGGGAAATTAACGCGCATCCCCGAGGACGAAGTTTCCACAATGGCCTCTATTCGGATTTAGCATCGAGATTGTAGGACAAAGCGGGCTCCACAGCACGCGACTCCACCGAATTCATAGACACATTCATCAAACGCGCCGTGTAATTTATTCATTGGCGCCGCGATGGCCGACCCATTGTTCCCCCGGAATCCTTTCCACAATTCATTAATCGAACGCTAAATGATTAGCCGCTGTGGATTTGTTGTTCTATTAACCAGACACACCGGATCGCGCGTGCACGCGCGCGCGTTTAAATATTAGCGGATTACTTTCGCGATGATGACGAATAAATTATCAACGTCGGCGATGATTTCCATATTGATCGCGTCGCGCGGGGCGGCGATACACGCCGGCCATTCATGGCGGTCGAGCGCGTAGACATTATCGAACACCACCGGCCCCGGTATTCCTCCATCCGCCGCGCCGCGCCGCGAGCATTCAGCAGCCGTGGCGCGATATCAAAAGAAAAAGAGGAGCAGTGTGGAAACAGAGTCGGCGGTGAAGCGCGACGCGACGACGGTAGCTTCGCGGCGGAAACGACCGGAGGGCTCTCTCGCCGTCCGTTAATCCGGATTTACCTCGGCGCGCGTCTTAGACGCGGCGGCTGAATATCCCGCTCGCGGATATATCCTCCGCCTTTTTGCTCGCCGACGAATACGTTCCGTTGGTGTTGAACGATGTATCGCGCGAGAATGTTGATATGAGCCGCCGCCGCCGCCGCCGCCGCCGTCGCCGTCGCCGTCGTCGCCGTCGCCGCCGCGTCAACGTCGGCGCCGCTGCGACGGCTGACATTTCGCGACGTGTAGTGTTCTCCGGATCGATTAACATTGCCCCTCGTGTACTTTCCGCGGCTCGGAATAGGTTCGATTGCGGCAGTGGTGTGGGCACGGTGAGGAGCACGGAGACGGTGAGGCTGAATGAGTGGAACACCCTGAGTGTCTACAGACATCGATGGGACGCCTGGATCCAGCTGAATCAGGAGAAGAGGGTGGAGGGACGCTCGAAGGTGAGGGCACTTCATTTTATTTCCATCAAGGCCAGACCATCCCGGATATTATTTACCCGTGTACGCGGGTCCAGCGGGGGACGGGGGACGGGGGTGGAATCGATATTCCGCAGCGAGGCGGGGACGTATTATCGGGATTACCAGCGCGAGTTTATTCGAATTCTCGGGATTCTACGGGCGACATCCTCCTGCTCTTCCTCTTTCTCCTGCTTGCGTTTCTGCTCCTCTTCCTCCCACCCCCTCCTCCTTCTCCTCCCCCTCCTCCTCCTCCTCCTCCTCCTCCTGCTGTTGCTTGCGCTCGCTTCCCCGGAGACACTTCTGGGTCTGGAGTTTTATGTAACGACGGAATGAGAAATCGTACTCAATTGGTCGCGATAGCGGTAATTCGTTGCCGCTCGCGCCGGCTAAATAAAGCTTTTCTTCTCGTTAAGCCGGAAGCTCCGTCTTAACCGGGCTACCAGCGCGGCGGGCCGTTACGGTCGCCGCGCGCCCTCCTGCTCCTCTTCCTCCTCCGCCTTCTTCCTCGGCTGTAAAATTTTTTTTCCGGCGATACACGCCGCGCCCGGGCGCGGCGTTATCGCGTAATAACAACGGCGAGCAACCTCGTTGCTCATTAATACCCGCACGGCCGGCTGCAGTAAAATAAAATTGTTTCCATTCAGCGAAATCCACTCGCGAGAAGTTCCACGGCGCCAAGGTGGAACCCGGCATTAAACGCTGTTGTATCTTACGGAAACTTGCCGGAAACTTTAATGAGAGAATGTAGTACGGAAATTGAAGAAACGTTCTTACATCTCGGAACTTCTTTCCGGAGTGTTTCACCCCGAGCTGCGCGAGAAATTTTGACCCCTTTTCCTTCCTCTTTCTTTCTCCCCCTCTTTCTCACTCCCGTCTTCTTTCCTTCTCTTCTTCTGCTTTTTCTTTTTTTTTCCTCCATTTTGCTTACCTCACGCGCCGGACTGAAACTCGGTTGCGGTTTATACCGATACATACACACGCCGGCGAGGCGCGTTGTGTCGCAACGTTAACGCGACAAAACTTCGGCTTTCTCGAAAATTCTCATCTCGCTTCGGCCGCATTAGAAATCGCGGAACACCTCGCGTGAGAGAAGTCCTTCGCAGCTCCGCCTTGTTGTCCATATACACACAGTACACACAGTCCATGTACACACAGATGTCGCGGAAAACGAGATATCGGAAGCGCGCGGCGCGGCGAGGAGAACTGCAAATTCTCTAACGCTCTAACGCGGCCATACAGCTTTTTTCTAAAATAATGTAGGGTAAGTCCAGGATGGATGGGGGTTATAGGAGATAGACGGTCAATCGCTATAATTTTGTTGATATATGCTAAGCGTCAGCGCTGATCGCAGCGCAGTCAGATGTACCACGAGTAGGTGTGTCTCTTCCTGATGCGCATAAACACTGTTATTGTGAGCATATAAATGTTTTATGTTTCTATTAATCTCCAAAGTGTGTTTCACGCGTCGGACGAACACCTTGCGAGTACGGTTTATTTCGAATTACGACATTAGACACGGGCTTAAACGATTAAAAAAACATCGTATTTGCGTAGTTGACTTCAACATTCGTTACCGAGACTACGTTTCACGCGGTATATATGCATCTTTGCGCGAACTCTGCAAACGGGATAGATGGTTCATTTTTATCAGGATTAGATGAGCAATTTACTCAGCGAGAAGTAGCAAACAATGGACATCGGATCAACGTTTTCTACATGCTTTGGACGTATAAAAGACATCGATCCGATGTCTATTCTATTATCATTTTTCCCTGATTACCTAATATTAAAAACTTCAGTACATCTTAAACGGCTTCTTGTTTCGTTTAAAGATGCCGAGTATAGATTCTTTCTTTCTCTTTTCTCTCTTTAATAAATAATATTTTCTCACAGGGCCTTTTTTTGTGTTGTTTCTCAACCTTCTCTTCAATGTTGTTCTTGATTGTTTTGTAAGAAACTTGTGAAAATGTTTTATTTTATTAATAATTAGTAAGAGGATTGAAAAAACGGTTAATAATTAATAAAAAGATGTAAAAAAAATAGAGATAAACAAAATTTCTACATTATTGTAGGCATGCCCAACTATTCCTCCAGGTATGGTCATCTATCCCTCACAGAATATTTTTAATATTTTGTTATTATTGGCGTCTCATGAATTTTTTTCACAAAAATCCTACCTTAAACATTATTCTCTACTATGCTGTTGATCGTTTATTGCAGTAATACAGATGTGCAATTTCCAATTCGAAGAACTATGCCCATCTATCCCGGACTTAACCTACCCACGAGTATCAGCGAGTCGATGAACAATATCTGCGGTTCTACGAGAACCAGAAAGCACCGCCAGAGAGCGACGTCTCTCGTCAATTTATCTTGGCCCGCACGGTACATATGTATGCAGGAAAGGAACGATTCGTTTTCCCGGTTTGCCGAAAAAGCGACGGGGGAATTTTTGCGAAAGACGAGCAGACGAGGAGAGGAGACGGCCCGTGAAAGTAGTAGTCGCGGGATAAAAGAGGCGCGCGATATTCCGCGAGGAGAGCTTTGGCGCGATAGCAAGGAGGCGTAAGAAGCTCCCCGAACGTACAAAACGGACGTCCGACACATCGAGACAAATGTCGGGGCGGGCAGGAGGGAGGGTTAAAAGCGAGAGACCACACCCTGGGACGACGGCGACGGAGCCGCGCCTCCTCGAGTAATCAGGAAAGAGCGCCGTTGCCCGTAAAACTCGGCTGAATAAGGCGGTTCCAGCCACGTAATCGTCTCTATCGATTCCGTTCTTTCCCCATATTAATCCGTTCCGACCGCTCGCTCGCTAATGAAACAGCGCGACGCGGAAACCGCGCGACAAACACAGCACCCGGATTCGTCAGGGTGCGCTTGAATAGCTATTGTGGAAACACCCCGATCGCGCGCAGTCATCACGTCAATGCGACGGTAATGATCGACCGGAGATGAAAACGAGTCGATGACAGTCGAGCGGGCGGCGTATCGCTGAAAAAGAAAAAGAAAACAAACACGGGAGGAAACGGGTATACAGTTCGCCACGTTTCGCGTCTGAATGGTATTTTCTGCGACAAGTACACAAGAGGAAAAGAAAAGATTGATCGTGGTTAACGCGACGTGCCAAACGTCTTTTGGTGGGAGGAAACGGAATTTCTGGCTCCTCGCGAACCAAATTCGGTTTTACGAGCCGGAGATTCTGTTCTCTCTCTCTCTCTCTCTCTCTCTCTCTCTCTCTCTCTCTCTCTCTCTCTGGAAACGGAACGAGCGCTCGGTACGTTCATTATTCATTGTCGTTGTCAGGCTAATTCAGACATTTGTTTTCCTCCGTGTGGAGATCGAACCGAGCAACAGCGACGGTTTTACACGGCGATTCGTTGATTTATCAAGGACAATTTTCCACACGAGGCACGCGTGTCTCTCGGCGACTTCGCCGATAAGACATATCGCGCGCGATCGTTCGCAGTGTATCGCGATCGTTGAACGAAGCCGAATTAGTCGCGCTTCCAATTCGCGCCCTTAAACCCGGGGAAATTACGCTTAATTAACGCTCGGAGATTTAATTCGCGACGGGCGGCGCGCTGCGAAGCGGAGCGTGACGAGGCGAGGCGAGGCGACTCCTTTCCGATGCAAACGGCGAGATGGTGTTCCTTGACGCGTCTCGGTTGTCGCCATCGTTTCGCGAGCGAATGAACGGATCTTATTGTTAACTAACCCCGTCCGGTCACGCTTTAATCGTATTCTACGCTTGTTGCGCGCTTGCCGCCCGCGCTCTCTTGTCCCTCCTTCTTGCCTCCTCCTCCTCCTACTACTCCTCCTCCTCCTACTCCTCCTCCTCTTTTTCTTTACGCTCCCCGTTCCTTCGTTTTTTCCTTCCTTCCTTCTCTCTTCTCCTTAATTCGCTTCGCATCGCTTCCTCGTGATACTGCGACGACCGTCCTCCGCCTTGTTACGTTGCAAATGAGATGCGGGCCGGGCGATCGCAGAAGTGTAAGCGAGACTTTTGGAAGCTCTTTACGCTGATGGCCGCGGGCTAATCTCTAGGAGACACTTGCTGCGGACTGGATTACTAATTTTCATAGTTCACAGCGCGACGGCGAGACGCTCTCGGGCGGTAACTTTCTTCGCGCGTCCTGTCGCGTTTCTCTCTCTCTCTCTCTCTCTCTCTCTCTCTCTCTCTCTCTCTCTCTCTCTCTCTCTCTCTCTCTCTCTCTCTCTCTCTCTCTGTCTCTGTCTCTGTCTCTGTCTCTGTCTCTGTCTCTGTCTCTGTCTCTGTCTCTGTCTCTATCTATCTATCTATCTATCTATCTATCTATCTATCTATCTATCTATTTCTCGCTCTCTTCAACATATCGCTCGAGCCTGGTGATACGATTTTCACGCGGACGAGTCGAGATAATAATCGCCGAGGGAGGAGATGCTTCTTCATCTCGCGCGGTCTCGCACCTTCCCCGCGCCGCATCCCACTTTTTGCCGCTCGGTATAACGCCGAGCGCCGAGCGAGTTGGTGTCGTCTCTGTCGCTCTCGTATCGTGTACCCGCGACTTTCGCAAATGAGCGGCCGTGTCACATGACGACCGCCGCGACGACCTTGTGACCTCCGTTTGTCAGCGTTGATCTGCGCCGAACTGTGCTTTCATCCGTACGCGCGTAATCCCACGCCGCTCGCTCTCTCTCTCTCTCTCTCTCTCTCTACTTTCTATCTCTCCCTCCCTCTTTTCCTCTTGGCGCGGTTTATAAACAGAGAAGAGCGCGACTCTCGAGCTGATCGAGCTGGGGCGAACACGGAGGAGACACAGAATATCGAGGGGGCAAGTACCGTCGATAAATGTCCCATCCACTTTTTCCGCCGGCCTTCTCCTCCTTCCTCAATGAGTCTCTCGAGCGTTCAGGATAGCGGTATGATAACGAGGAATTATCGGCTGGTTCTCGGCCCATCTGTTTTTCCCAGGCTAGGTTTAATTACCCTTAAAATCAGGCAGCATTGCCGGCAAATGGCTTCGCGTTTCAAGCCCACTTTATCCTAGAGTGCCATTAAGCACTCGGTGTCCTAACGACAGCGTCGTAATTAGAGAAGCCACCTCTGACCTCTCTCGCTCCCCCCTCCCTCCCTCCCTCCCTCCCTCCACCTCCTCTCTTTCTCATTGCTATCTTCCTATGTTCTGGACCGGCTCTTTTCTTCTTTTCTTTGTCGTTACCTTTCTTTCTCTCTCTCTCTCTCTCTCTCTCTCTCTCTCTCTTCCCGTCGCGCTTCCTGCTTTTTTCCATCTCACCGCATTCCCTTCGCTTCGGCAGAAGAAATTGGGAAAACTGGAGCACACAGCTTGTCGCCAAAGCCTCCGCGGTCGCTCACGTGCACGATCCTTCCGTCCGATTCGTCGAATTGGAATCCGGCGAATGGAATCTGGAGTGTCGACGAGACGACGGCTTATGATTGCGCAAGACGGGTAAAACGCGATGTGTATTGGCTGACAATGGGCATAGTTTGCCGTCCGATATAAAACGGGATATAGAACGTACGAGACATGAAAATAACGCGGATCTCCGACGGAGGCACGGGGGAATTTCCCGCGGCGCGTCGACGTCGACGTCACGCGTCGACCGATGAGCCTTCGATCTATCGCCGCTCGTGTATCAAGCCGCAGCAACTATGACTCTCGTCGGATCAGCATAATCCTTTTCGTAATTCCTCCCTATTGTACGGCGTCGCTGAACGCTGATGATGTAGAACGCGCGGATTTTGCGACGAGCTCGCGCGATGCGCGAGCGGAATTGCGAAAGCCGGAGCGCGCGCGCGTCTCTCCCGCCGGCCGCGTAAGGCTCGAAAATCTTGCAGAAATAGATTTTTCACACTCGTACACACAGACGTGGGGACGTACGTACGCGCGAGGTATGATCTGGCGGGTTTTATCGGCAGCCCAGAGATATACAAAGGAACGGTAAAAACAGCCGGGCGCCGCCGCCGCCGCAGTTGCGCTTGTACGCCGCGAGCGGAATAATTTCATTATTCAGGCATTAATCAGGCGGCCGCAATTGCGCCGGTCCGCGTTACGCTGCTGCTACGTACGTGTAACTAGAGAATTCCGGCTTCAATTGCAGGGCTTGTTCTCGAGGATTACGTTCCGTGAGCCGCTCTTCGTCGGCGGGCCCGGAAACACGACCGGCTTGGAGCGACTTCCGGTGAGGACCGGATTTAAGGGCTGCATCCGGCATTTGGAGGCGAACGAGCACCACTATCGCTTCCCGTTGGCCCCGCAGGGCGACGCCGCCAACGGATTCGACGTCGGTGAGTACAGCCTCTCGTACGGTACAACTCGGTATATCGGATCGTACGGATCGCCAACCAGGCGAGAAATGCTCTCCCTAATCGTGAAATTTCTCGAATGCCGCCGCTCACCGAACGTCCCGCTACGGCGAACGGCTGACTTTTGAACGACTCAAAATTCTTTAAAGCCTGAGTCGCGGAGGCCTCCTGGAGAGTTCCTCTCCAGGGGAAACGGCCACGGCTGGATACGAGCAAAGGAAAGCCGCTTTACCCCGAATCTCGATATATATTCGCCCAATTCTTCCGCGTTCGAATAAAATTACCTAAGGTTCTTTTTCTTTTTTACCTTTGACCTATCGGAGAAATCGGAGAAATCTTTTCCGAAGAGAAATTCCACGTGTAATTGTGCCCGGTGATTAACAAAATAACCCGACTCTCGTGGAAAAAAAGTCAGCCATTCGGGAGGTTAAAGGTTGTTGGTTTCCGAGTCGCAGTTTCGGAATTAACCGAGCAAACAATTGTTCCTCCCAGAGCCAAAAAAGAGCCATCCTCTTGAGGCATAAGACCGTTAAGCACTTGAAGCATTATTACCACACATCAGGCTCCGAAATGAATCATTTAGGGATGCCTTAGATTTTACGAAATAAGGCTTTGACAGGAAGAGCTGAGAAGGGCCTTAGAAGGATTTTTTAGGAATGCCTTAGATTTTACGAAATAACGCTTTAATATGGAAAACTGATATAGACCTTGGAAGGATCTTTTAAATTGTCATAGTTTAGTATTGTTTTAGTAGGTAGGTATGCACTATCTGGTTCTTTTAAAGATTTTTTAATTATACCGCGATTAAAAGCAAATTGTATTAGTTTTATTAGCTACCATATTCATTAGTCTTTTCCAAGGATTTCTGTAGTATTGCCTTCGTTTTGAAATGTAGCAAACTTTAATAAAAACAGTGGCAGGATTTTTATGTGTAAAGAATGCTATATTTTATCGTAAAGCATACTATATTTTTAAAATAAAAATTCTTGTATATTAACAAGGTTATAGAGAAATAAAGAAATGACAGTCTAAATTTCTTGGAATGAAAGAAAAAACGAATATTTTTATTCGTATTGCCCTATTAATATTACCTTATACCCTCATAATATTGCTTTATAAGGACCCGTTAAACCATTTATTACACATCTTGTAGATGCCCTTGGCTTTCTATCCCTACTAAGACCCGATTAATGTTGGGAAGAAATAATTAGGCCCTTATCAGAACCCTATCATCATTTTTCTATTCGGGTATCGACTCGCTTGTCTCGTGACGATTCTGTGCGTTTCTCCCGACACGTATAATATCAAAACTATATTGACAAAATAGAAATGGAATAAAGGAATATTTCGTCGCGACTCGATCTTTCACAGTGCGCGAGAGCGCGGACAAAGGTTGTGGCGGATTTGACGCGTGATTTGCTCGCGATGGGGCAATTCAGTTAATTATGATATCATCCGGCGAATTGAACATCGAGACGCGCGCGCGCTCGAGATACCGGGAGACACTTAGGAAATCCGGTTGCCGCCGCCGTCGCCGTCGCTCCCGCCCCCGCCCCGTGCCCCCCGGCAGGCGGAAAAAAAGGCGAGGAATATATTCGGAGTTAAATCGAGCGGGCATCGGAGAATTTGCCGACTAAATTCATGTGACACCTGTTGTGTTCGCTTGCCGATATAGCTGTTAATTCGGCCACCCGGTAGCGGCCTGCCGCATTCTGACCGACCGATGTCGTAGCTGTAAGGCAGCCAATTAGAGATCCGCCCGTTATTAATTGTTTCGCATATTTCAGCGCCGTCGGCTCCGCCGTCGGCTTTACACTTGTCGCGCGCGACGGAACATTAATAATAACAATAATTTGTCCGCACGCGCGAGCCGCATTATTTATTTCGCCGCTCGTTCGCGCGCCGATAAACGGCAGTTTCGTTCGTATTATTAAACGTCGTTCCTTCTTTGTTTCCGTCCGTTCCGCGGCAAATGGCTTGTCGCGGGGCCGGGAAGGATTTCTCGCCGCGCAAATCGCCGTGTAAAAGCTCGTGACTTGCGTCTCGCGTTACGCTTCGTATCGAAACGCCGTTCATACAATACGGCGGTTGTCGCACCGCCGCCGAATTATCCGATAACGTGCAACCTCGAATTCAGAATCGATAATTTTTCCATCGCGAATGTCGGCGAATAGAGGGAGAAGGCGGAGAGGGGCGGGGGCCGCGTTTGTCGTTCGCAGCATTCCAATTTACAACGTTACATTATATCCTTCATCTTTTAACCGCTGTTCCACCCGCGCCGCGAGTGATATGAGACAAGTTGAAATTACTCGATCACATAATTACACTCCCGGGAGTTACGTTCCTCCGTTGCCTTTTTTTTTCAGTTTACCGAGGCAACCGAGTCTCTCTCTCTCTCTCTTTCTCTCTCTCTCTTTCTTTCTCATCGCATAAGTGGAAGATCCGCTGCCGTGACAGCAGCTTGAAAGTGGCGCACATTAATTATGTCAAAATCGATGAGACCGCGATAGGATCGCTCTTCATCCGGACCGACGAAGGAAGGGTGAAGGGAAACCCCGCGCGGGGATCACGCGTGTCAGGCAAGACGATGGCTATCGCGAGTAATTATCATCGTTATCGTTGCCGGAGTGTCGGTAATTAATTGTCAACATTTGGGGGAGGGGAAGTCGTTTAGGAGTCCGGCTATGCAACAGCTGCTTCATATATGTCGCGCGCGCGCGTGAGGGGGTGCGTACGAGTGTATGTGTGCGCGACATTAATTACCAGCTGAGTAATGAACGTCTGTCTCGTATTTATATGACGGTGGCGGGGCGGCGAGCAAATGTTATCTCTATTTTGCAACATCGCGAGCGCGAGCGCGAGCGCGCCGTTGTTCGCGCAGCGTACGCCGGCCGTAATTTTCATATTTATCGCCGGTCATAACTCGAAATAACCAATTGCGCGCGAGTGTGAGACGATATTAATGGTAAACATTTGTGTACTAATGAGCCATGTGGATAATGGCGAAGAGCGAACGCTGCTGGCCGAGCGAGGCCGCGCGCGGAAGGCGCGCCTCTCGACGAGCCTCTTTCGCCGCCGCGGCAGAAACGGAAGTTCCTCCTCGGCGCGGGAAGGAAGGCCGAGCGGAAAAAATATATTCGCCCGCGCGAAATAACGAGCGATCGGCGGAAGTGCATTCTCGAGCACAGTCGCTTGTATGTAGAGAGGCCGCTCTTTATCGGAGAGCGGTATTAATTATCAAGAACTAATCGATACCTATCGAAGCGTCATTATGCAGATTCGTGAAATACCAGGCGCGCGCGCGGGCGGCCATGGTATTTTATTTTACGGACGAGCGATTCTGCCGAGATAAATATTTAATTAATATTTATCGCCGCGTGCGGAGTTTTTGCGCGCGCGTGCGCGCGTGCATAACGCGCTCGTGAGCGACCGCGCCGCGTTTTATACTCGTATTACCGCGCGCGTTGTAGCCGTGTATCTCGCAATTCGCGATGCCGGGCGCGAGAAGAAGGGGAGGTGCGCGAGGGGAGGCCAACGAGGCCGACGAGACCGCTCGCGCGCGTCTCGCTCGATTTCCAGGTTCCGCGTAAGTTCAACGGACCTACCGCCGCTTCGGCGACGGCGCGCCGATGTGAAATCGAGCACACGTCTTGTTAATAAGCGCGGCGTCAATTAACGAGGAGAAAATGTGTCATCAATTATTACGCTGTATTAACTCGTCCGGCGATATTTTCCCGCATGACGTCGCGCCGCCGGGACGACGATTTGTTACGACGCTAGGTGGGTAGCTAGAGCTAAGTAGATTGCTAGATATCGGTCACGGAGATGGATGAGAGGCGGCGGCGACGGAGGGGGGGAGGGCCCTCCGCGAATCGAAAGTTACGCGTTACTCTTCGATTCCGTCTACGTTCGCCGCGCACACACGGAGACCTCCCGGAAAGATAACACCCGTTAGATTGGAAAACTTCGGCCCGGGCAGTTGGACTACTTGGGCACATTCCGCGGTGGGGAGTAAAAATCGTCCGGGCTCGTTCATTGTGTATTATTCGCGATCGATAACCACCTCTCTCTCTCTCTCTCTCTCTCTCTCTCTCTCTCTCTCTCTCTCTCTCTCTCTCTCTCTCTCTCTTTCTCTCTCTCGTTTTTCCTTGCCTCTTTTTCCTCCTCCCGCGGAATACTCGCGCGCTCTCTGTTTCTTGTTGTGCTCTTTACTCGGCGCACCAAAGCACGACGGCGCCGTATAAATAAGCCGACAAGACACGAAAAAAAAAATACAAAAATACAATATATTAAATATGTATGTCGGCGGGCGCGATATCATCGGGAGGGGGGAGGGATCGTGTATTTCTGGCCAACTGTCCCGGTGGCACGTCGCGAAGCTCAACGTCGAGAGACACGTACAACGTCGTTGTACGTGTCGAGAGAGAGAGAGAGAGAGACGTGCAAAAAATCCGCTAGCAATGCTCGCGCGCACGTTAAATGATATCGTCGAAAATACGATGAGGCGGAAGAGATTGATACTCCGGCGCGCCGGTAAATCGACGGGGAGGACCTGTCGAGGTGCGAGTGGTTTTATCGGTTTTATCTGCCGCGAGTCGAGTCGAGTCGAGTCGAGTCGGGCCTGATCCTACTCTCGTCTCCCGAGTAATTCTCTCGATTTCGCGGGCCACCGGAACTTTTATTAAATTGCCTGATTTATATATATATATACATTGTCGTTCCAGAGGAGTGCACGGCCGACAGGTGCAGCAAGGTGCCGTGTTCCCACGGTGGAAAATGCCTGACAACCGGAGGCGACACGGCTGTCTGTCTCTGCCCGCTCGGCTACACGGGCGATCTCTGCGAAACCCGGGTGGACCTGCAGGTAATCGAATCGATCCCGTAGGAATTATAAGCACGGACGAGCGACACGCGGCCCCGGTGTCGTCCAACTCTCACGCAGTCTGTTTGCGAGAGATGTTTCGACCGAACGAGCGACCGAGTAAACTTCGCCGGCCGGCCGGCCGGCCGGTCGGTCGGTCGGTCGGTCGGTCGGTCGGTCGGCTGTACATCGAAACCGAAACTTTTTTACCCGGGAGTCGAATCTCGCCCGCTCGCGGGCCCAAGTTCGCTTGATTACACCTCGCGCAAGCCGCTTCTAAGATGTTTGACCGAACTTCGCCGGGGTATGCTAAATTATTCGCGCGGAAGTCAATTTTTGAGCGGGCGAAGTTGTGAAATTTTAACGACGGAAATTAGAAGCGCGAAGGATATATATATATATATATATATATATCGAAGGGAAATGTCGGAAATTGGAACAAAGAAGAGGCAGTTTCTCGATATATTAACTCACAGATCGAAATAAACTACGTTGATGTGCATATCCCGTCAGAAAAATTTATAATCGCACAAATAGAAATATGATTCCATCTAGAGAGACCAGATGCGGAATATTCTGAGCCCCGCGCGGTTAAATTTACATTTCCGCAGTTCGCGCGGATTCATCAATCGTTATGGAGGTAATGAATAATCTAACGTAATAATCTGGCGAATCAGGCTTTGTCTATGCTGTTTCGTCGCTAATGACCGTTAATGCATCCGCACATATATATATATTTATATTTCTCCAAATATAATTAAAATCAAATCGATCATTTACCGAGACCGCGTAAAGGATACGAGGATGCGGCAGATGTGTATCGAGTCCATTATTTGCAACGTTCACGTTCGAGCTTCGAGGAATTCTATACAAACTTCATAAATTATTATCCTCCGTGCTTTTTTTCACTAAACGCTTTACGTAAGTAACTCGCGAGAGGAACTTTGCAATTACAAATAAGATAACGGCCCTTCGCGGGCGTGTCGCACGAAGCACCCAAATGAACGAGCTAGGATATCAAGGATTCAAAGAAGAAAACTTCAAAAACGATCGTTTCCAAAAAGTCCCCCGCCTCGCCGCTTTCGCAGCTGTGCCCTCGAGTGACGCGATCTTATCTTTATCAATGCTGATCTCCGCATCTTCGTGCAGGCAACGATTCGCCCTCCCTGTCGGATGCCTCTCATCTCCTTCCCCCCCCCTGCTATAACGCGGTATCTTCGATATTGCTGAGAAGTTACGTTAATAATTCGGCCGCGCGTACCGCCCGCGGGATCAAGCTCGAGCAGGAGTCGGGGGAGGGAGCGGGGGTGTTAATAAAGACACCCACGCTTGTGAAACTCCGAGACTCTCGGGGTATCGCCGTGATTTGACCTCGCGTCCTCCTCTTGTCCTCCCGAACTCGTTTCTTTCTCCTCCGTGTGTCTTCGGACGAGCAGGAGATACACTGTTGGAATTCATAACGAACGCAATTCTTGAAATATTCCTCCGCTCTCGCCGACGATCGAGCGACGATCGGCCCGCAGAGGGGAAAGCGGAGATGCTCCTCCGCCGCGCGTCATCGAAAAGCACCCCCATTTCCCAAAACATCCCCCATCCGAGGAAACGATACACGTCGCGGGAAACACATCGATCGAAATTCCATACTTCGTGCGAAACTGCGCGGAATCGATCCCTCGGCGTTTCCGCCGACCAAATGTGATCCCGAAGTTTTGGCCCAGGTAATACGGAACGTCGTGAGACGGGGGGGGGAGAAAAGGGGAGGCGGTGTAACGGCAGATTCGTGGGAAGTTCGCAGGACAAAAGTGACAGCCGCGCTGTTTTTTTCATTCCGTACGGTAGTTTTCCGACTGCTAAAGAGCTTTTTCGGTTAACTTTCGACCGAAGCGTGACGTGCGCGCGCGCTCGTGCGGTTCTACCTTTTTCCTCTCTCTCTCTCCCTCCCTCTCTCCCAGCACTTTCGACTAAGCAGTCCATCAATCGCGCACGTGGACGGCTAGAGTTTTCGCACGGAAGTGCACGTGTCGTGTCGGGTGTGTGTGTGTGTGTGTGTAACTCGGGATACGCGACTGTCGGGCACAATTTATAGGTCGTCCCTGGTTCTCTCTCTCTCTCTCCCTCTCCCTCTCTCTCTCACTTTCTCATTCTCTCGCTCCCTCGCTGGATGCGCGGCTGGTAGCGGTGTCCATAACGAGGCCAGACTTGCTTGCAGACATCAAACATGCTAACATCGTATTAGACGCGACGTTGTTGCGTTATGCTGTCTCATTAGCGCGCTCGCTTGATTGTAAGTTGATCTACTGGCAGCGCGGATTGAACAAGCTTATCCCGAGCCCGTCGGTCCGTCACATCTCCTAAATTACACTCGTATCCATCTTGCGCGAACAAAGACGGATCATTCGTTCCTCTCGGTGTCCTACGGAAACTCCCGTCCGGCTGTCCTGCAGTTTTCTCTCCCTTTTCCTCGGCTCGGAGGTACATGTCCGGGATCTCTCTCCGATCCAGCGGGGAATAGGAAGCTCGTCGTCGGGCGGGTTAATTCGCGAGTCTCGCGACCTCGTAAAACGAATCTCCCGCGATCCGAAGGAAGTCGCAGACGCCGCACGGGAGCGCAAACATTATTCGTCGACATTATTCGCGTAACCTGCGGCGCTCGTGCAAAACACGACGTAGTACGACGATGGTTGTTATAATCTATTTAGGATTTTCGGCGCGCACGCGTGTGTCATTAGCATCGCGCGCAAAATATCAGCGGCCGCGACGGCTTCTCATCGGCTTCTCATCGGTATTAAAAGCGGTCGCTGAATATGCATTATTCCGCCGCCGCCGCCGATACCCGCTATCTCATTGTCGCGAAATACGGTGTGTATGAGAATCGATCGATTCCGTCGACCGCCTCGCAAATGACGCGTTTATCCGCGCAATAAGCGCGAGCGGCTACGAGTAATTAACAGCCGCGCCGCTAATGAGGCGGCTTAAACGCGTAGAAAGACATAATTCGCGCGTGTGCTCGCGCGCGCGCGGATACTCTTTTAAATCGCATGACCTCCGCGCTTCGACGTTCCCCTATGCTATGCGATCTGCACGTATCCACGCAGCGGGTGGAAGAGCCGGTGGAGGAGGAGGAGGAGAGGCAGGGGGGAGGGATTGCGACTTAATGGAGCGAACGCGACCGCGCTCTCGCCGGAAGTCACCGTATGCGGTTCACCCCGTGCGCGTGTGGCGCGCAGTTACCCGCGGATTATGTACGGTTATACGATATCGATTATGACAAGGACGAGAGAGACCGGGCGATGAGGGGAGTACGCTGGGGCGGAGGGCGAGGGGGTGGGATACGGAGCGACGCGGTGAAATTGGTATCGGCATTCGACCGATATTACTTCCGGCGCGACTCGAAATGACAGCGATTGCCGAGCTATAAAGATGCGTTCGCATGCATCAGTGACGGCTCAGCGCGCGACGTCGCGCCGGTACTTTGCCTCCCTCGGCGGCATCGACAGTTATGCCGGGGCTGATCCGCCGATTGGAACGTTTCCAGCGGCGTTTACGGCCGCGAGACGCTATTTGCAAATTGAAAATTGCTCGCGCGCCCGGGGATAGCATCGGTGCTGCGGCCGGTCTTTGATGTCCCTCGGATGCGTCGCGCGACACGCGGAAGCGAAGTTTCGCCTCTTCTCGCTGATGGCGTCCGCGAGTAACGCCGAGCGCTGCGAAGGACCACCCGAGCAAAAGATTGTTGAGGGCTATCCTCATAAAGCATGAGGCACTGGATAAGGCTGAAAGTAGGATGCCCTGAAAAGGATGTCTTATTACTACCGCATCAGGCCCCGAGGTGAATATTTTAGGGATACTTTAGATTTTACGAAATAAGGCTTTGGTAAGGAAAATTAATGAAGACCTTAGAAGAGTTTATTAGGGGGCCTTAGATCTAATAAATAAGGCTTATTAAGGATAGTGAAAACTGAAGAGGGCCTTAGGAGGATTTTTTAGGGATGTCTTAGATTTAATAAATAAGGCTTTGACAGAGAAGGGCCTTAGAAAGATTTTTTAGGGATGCTTTAGATATATAAAATCAAGTTTTGTTATAAAAAATTAATTAAGATCTGAAGCGTGTAATAAAATTGTCATAGTTTAGTATTGTTTTATTAGGTAACTCTATCTGGTTCTTTTAAAGATTTTTTAATTATACCGCAATTAAAAATAAATTTCATTAGTTTTATCAGTTGCCATATTCATTAGTCTCTTTCAAGGATATTTAAAGTATTGCCTTTGTCTTGAAATGCAGCAAATTTTAATGAAAACAGTAGCAAAATTTTTATGTGTAAAAATGCTATATTTTATTGTAAAGTATGTAGTAGTATGCTATATTTTTAAAATAAAAAATTCTTGTTGTATGCTAACAAAATTATAGAGAAATAAAGAAATTATAGTCTAAATTTCTTGGAACGAAAAGAACGAATATTTTTACTCAAGCAATAATAAAAATATTTCTTTATAAGGCCCTGTTGATATTAATTGGCGGCCAGCATGACACACTCGGCGAAAACATGTCGTGCCGCCGACATCTTGTACTTCTGATGGTAGTTCTAGCTTGTTCTATTCGAATTCTATACAATCCAATCATTTTCAGTCATTGTTCCGCCGTATTTTTTATAACTCGAATAGAACAAGCTAGAAGTACCGTCAGAAGTACAAGAAGTCGGCGGCACGACATGTTTTCGCCGAGTGTCGTGCTGGCTGGCAATATTTAAAATTGTACAGAACTGTTAATTGTTGGAGTTTGGTTCTGAACTGCTTTTCATAGCTATAGAACTAACCTAGATCTAACGAAAACTCTCTCGTCAAAAAGTGTATTATTCGCCGACTTCTTGTACTTTAGAGGAGACTGTGTCGTGCTGGAACGTGAAGTTAGCATGACATTTTTTTAATTTCGATTTTTTGCTATTAAGAACACTAAGGAACTTTTTTTTTATTTTTATCAGGAACTGTAGAACTATGAAAAATGC